AGCATGTTGGTGATTCAGTCATCTGTTGCGGAGCTATCCTGTCAAGAACTCTATTGTTGGACTTGTGGGAGTTTTTGACCTGCTGGCGGCGCTATAAAAAACTTCTCACAGTCATTATGATTCAGCCTCTGGGGAGGAGAGTGTCAAACTGACAGAATCGCTGCTTTCCTTACAAAAAGAAAAAAAAGAGGAGACAATTAATTTTGAATCTATGCTACCCATCATTTAAGTGTAGGTGTCTGTTGGTTGGTGAATATAAATATGTGACATCTTATCTGCACACAAACAAATCCTCAGCCCCTCCTATAGATATATCTGTAATAATGACCCTAATCATGGCTCACCTATTGACACTATACACTATGGAATAATAAAAGTCCATCAGAATCAGTACGAGAGTCAAATGTTGCATAGCTTTGCGTGATACTCATATAAGTGACATGTCAGTAAGATAAAGAGATATGACGCATGCTGCTGCTCTACACAGGTACAGTGGTAGCCATCACGGAAATCCTCTGATAGATTAATCTCTGCATTCATGGTAGGAGGGGCCAGATTGCCTGAAACTGCTGCCGAGGCGTCCCTGAGCAAGGCACTTGCCCCTGATTCTTGCAGGGGATCTGCTCAGTGGCCAACAGCAGAGAGAGCGAGGAGAAACTCCTGATGGTGACGGAGTGTGAGTGCGAGGCAGGTGCAGGAAACAGGCTCGTGTGCGCAGGATGAAATACTCGTCATTTAAATACGGAAGCTATTAAAATGGTGTTCTTTCAAAAACGTTCCAAAGTGAAACCTGATTAGCATATTGTGACAGAAATCCCATGTCTCAGTTCGTCTTCAACCGGTGTGATTTTATGCCAATTAGCATTACAAAGTTATTAGTTTCACCACTTTCCAGTCTGTTGACAACACAGTCTCACATCATGATCAACTTCAACCAGGATAGAGAATTTTAATATCAGTGCAGTGAGTGGTTCGGTGGGAAGTTTTGAGAGCCAGGAATTGTTTTGTTTTAGTTTATACTTTTTTTTTTTTACCAGGGATGAAAAACGTCTGTTGACATTTACGTTATGGATTCTTTCTCGTGCACAGCTACCTATTATATCCTCCTGAGACCCTGTGTCCTCAGACAAGACATCACCTTTGGGTTTACTTGACCTTATACATCAGTCTACTTAACTCAGACCTGATGTCCTTGATCGTGGACACTTTTTGTGCCATCTAGTGGTAGTAAGACCACAGTACACTAATCCATGTAAAAACAAGATGGCAGCCATCTCTGCCAAGTCAGTCTGCAGCCGATCCCGACCCAAAAGTGAACAAGGTCCAAAACCTGATCACATGTTATGATTGAAACTTGTTTATTTATGAATAATAATGTTTGTAGTTTTAAATGGCAACAAATTTGACCAATTTTGACCAATTTTAGCAACGGCAACAAGGTAAGACACTGTTAATTATGAAGTACTCGCTTGAGGACACTGGGACATGTTGAGTTTTTCATACTTATCAGGTCCTACTGATCCCAAATAACTGGGAGAAATTAAAAATGCATACCAAACTAAGTTAGTTCAGGTCTCAGGAGGATATGGATCAGGCTGCACAATATTTTGAAGTGGTCATCATGAGAGATTATCTGATAATGATGCCGTCTGATTTGAAAGATATGTCGAACCATAATCACTCCCAACTTTCACCAATTGGCATGACGCAGGAGGGAGGGATGAGGCGTGTCCGTGAAACTAAAATCCAATAAGCCAGACATTTACGCAATCATGCAGCTACTTATGTCACTTTTCAAGTGCAAACAAGTACAAGACTAAGACTGTCTTCAAGGAGAGACTGTCCAGAGTGTGCACAGTTATCCACATTTGTACGACTCATCATGCCTCACTCCATTCTATGTGGCAGGCTTCTTATGACGCCTTCAAGTGCGGCCATTTAGAACAGTATGTATTTCTGTACATTGACATGTCCTCAACAGGAGGATCCTTGTCATAATTCAGTTCTTTTTAAGTATATTTTGACCTACAGACTCCCTGGATTAGCACTGTTAAAGGAGCTATATGTAAGAAATCTAAAGCAAATAGTCGTAAAATCCTCCTAATATGTCACAGAGACGAAGGAATAATGTTCATATAACATACTGATCTCACCGACAACAATAGTACAGCCAGAATATTCGCATTAAAAAAAATTTTTTACGGTCCGCAAATCATGTTTATGTTTTGAATTTGTGTTTTGGCCTGTTGCGCCACCCACCGCCGTCTACCAGTCACGCAGTCAGTAGAGTCTCAGCATCAGTTACAGTTACAACTGAGCTACAGCAACACGGCAAGCAGCATTAGCAGTGTCCCAGTACATAGCATGAGCAGCCGGCTCCTCCTCAGCTGTATCCCGACAGCAGCGTTAGCAGCAGAGAAGCCGGACTTGCTCGAACGGTCCGCTGGAAAACCGAACATCAGGAGACGCAGCGACACAGCCCTGCCACGGCAGCTGCCTGTGGGCAAACAAATCAGTCTCCAGCGTGCCGCTGTCCAGCAACCTCGAATCTGTAGGGGAGGGGGGGCGGACACGACTCGCGGCAGTATTTTGAATTTGAGTGCAGTAACCGTTTTGGCCACATTCTTACATACAGCGCCTTTAACGTCCCTTGCATCCAAATGATCATGAAGGACATCTGTGAAACTAGTGTGCACACTTAAAGGGGAATTTCAGTTTATTTCAACCTGTCTCCTATCGTCCTAAATTTGTTTCAAGTGACTAGTGACATAGACATAATAGTTAGCATGTTAGCCGTTACCCTAGATACAGCCAGTAAGTGAACGGGCAACCTTCAAGTGCAAAGTTAGTCCACTAAACAAGCTTTTTTCCACAAAGACCGCCTCATATCGTTAGGATAAATGTCAGAGAACATATAGAAAACGACATGTAAACGTGTTGTCTTACCTTACTGGTGTGCTGCCATGTTTGTTTACCATTTAGCTCTGCTTTCCAAAGCGCGGCCGAAATATCGCGAGAACAAGCAGCGATCTCGTACTGTGTCTGAACAAGCCGCAGCAGCTGCAAGGCAGAACCGGACAGTAGCCTAAAAGGTTCATTCATTTATTTTATGAAAGATTTATAGAATAATGGCTGACTTTTTGCCAGACTTCAACTTTGTGGAGGAGGAATTTGATTTTGCAGAGTATGATGGCCGCCCTTATTTATGTGAGCCAGAATACACTGACGAAGAGCTTCGTGAAATTGAAGAACAGAGGAGGAGAGACAGAGGTACAACAGGTAGAGGACGAGAGAGGAGGAATGGCTGCTGCAAGGCTGCGTAGCTCTGGAGATTGGTGGTGTACCTGTGAATGCTGTGCCCCAGTGCCCACAGAAGAGGAATGCCTCTGTTGCAAAGAATGGGACCGGTTGCAGCCTTAGCTAAATGGTAAACAACAAACATGGCAGCACACCGGTAAGGTAAGACAACACGTTTACATGTCATTTTCTATATGTTCTCTGACATTTATCCTAACGATATGAGGCGGTCTTTGTGGAAAAAAAGCTTGTTTAGTGGACTAACTTTGCACTTGAAGGTTGCCCGTTCACTTAAGTTTTAACAGGTCTGATGCTACGGCTGTATCTAGGCTAACGGCTAACATGCTAACTATTATTTCTATGTCACTAGTGACTTGAAACAAATTTAGGACGATAGGAGACGGGTTGAAATAAACCGAAATTTCCCTTTAAGTATGACACAAGCCGGGTCTTCATTAAATGTAGAGCAAATTTTAACCAAACTTTCGGAAAAAAATGGCAAAACAAAATACAAATTTACGAGCGCTTTTCCATCTACGACTGATATGTGAATATTGAGGGTTGGCTCATCGAGGTAAGCAGTAGGTGGCGCTAGTTCTCCAGTCAGGTGCCATCATACCACTGCAGGAGAAAAAGACACAAAGGAAAACAATGGTGCTTCTCAAAGTCAAGGAACAAACGGCCCAATTTCAAGGAGACTACGTCATCAAATCCCACCAAAAGACTTCGAAGTAGACCTTTGAATTCTACAGAGAATTGAATCCCTCCTTCAGAGAATTTTCAAGAATGCATGTGGGTATACTAAGCGGGCATGAAGTACCCACAAGTTTTTGTGCACAGTTTGCTGGAAATGAAGGCAGGGCCTCTTCAGTGATGCACACCTTGGCACTCGCTAGCCTGTTCCAATGCGTGTTCACTGAATGCTAGTAACGAATCATGCTTGGCCTCTGTAGGACCCGACTTGAAGGACCTGTCCTACCAAGGAAGCATACTTGACTTTGAGAAGCACCAAATGGGAGAATTATAATGTACACTGTCCAGCACAGCGGGTGATGAAAATGGAGAATTTTGAACAATGATTATTACAACTATGTGCTCTTGGAAGAGTTCTGTTCAGACATTGATGTGTTGTAAGCCATCAAGAGATAACAGAGTGAGCTCACAGTGGCCTTTGCAGTTACAGGACAAATTGCTTATGTTATGGTACATCATCTTTTTATTTTTTCAGCCTAATGTTTTTTAGCTTTAATAATTACGAAAGTGGTTTCATTTGTGAAGGTTATCTTGCTGACGTTAGTTTGCCACAGAGCTCATTTTTTTGGCAATAATCCAAAATCCAATGGAAAAATCTCACAGGCTTTTTGACAAGGGAGCCAGTGCGATGCTAACGTCCATGCCAGCCTACAGAAAAATGTCAACCCTGGAGCGCTCTATGAACTCCAACATGACTACCAGAAGATGTGTTAGGTGTCACTGACCCATAACCTCTAAGGGTACTTTCACAGCTGCCCTGTTTGGTTCGGTTCAATCATACTCAAGTTGGTTTGCCCCCTACGTGTGGTTCGGCAGGTGTGAACACAACAATCACACTTGGGTGCGCACCAAAACAACCGGACTGAGACCTTCTTGAAGAGGCGGTCTTGGTCTGGTTACAAAAGAACTCTGGTGCGGTTCGTTTGAGATGAACCAACTCTAGGCAATTATGCAACTTGGGAACAAAATTATTCCTGATTCAGAACAAAGGAGACAACACCCTCAGACACTTGAGCCTGTTTCCTGCCACCTGTTCATTCACTCACACTGTGGATAATAAAGCAGGAATTACATGAATCTAGTCATTTAAAACTATTTGAGGCTTCCATGATGGCTACCGTACATCTATGTTCTGCCTATTCTTTTTATTCTGCCTTATTAAATATGATTGTGTGTGTGTGTCGTGTGATGGGTGCTGCTGCGCTGCAGGGTGAGGGGGGGACAGTGTCTGAAAACCTCGACTTCTGACAAAACCGACTGATCTGCCTCCTGCGAAGAGAACGTCTCCCTGGGCCTTCAGGGTTCACATCAAGAAGACGCCGCCACACTGTGCCCGTGTGCGTGTGAAGTGTGCGTGTCAGCTCCTGCACACACACATACACACACACACACACGCATATATACGTACGCACTCTGGAGCATAAAACTACTCCTCTGCATGCAGATTTAGAAAACTGATATCATAAAAAGTACAATATTCCATTTTTTATTACTTGAGCTTTTTGCGGCGAAGCTGCTGTCGTTAATGGAATTCAGAGCGGGGCTTCAGTGCGACGCTCGCTGGTTAAGACTGCCGTGTGTGGTGCTGGGGCTGTGGGATTACATGTCACTGTGCTGAGTGGACTTTTATGTGAACTAAACTCCGTGTTATTTCCCCAAAGCCTTCTTGTCGTCCCAGCTTTACCCAAAGTGCATTCTGCCATCCCTGATTCATGCAAAGGAATGGAACAAAACAAAAAACGTCCTTCAGTCAGCGACATGACAACAAAAAGTATAACCAGAATATTCTAGTGGCGTACCCGAGCGATGCATAGACACGAGGAGGATTCTAACAAAATAACCATTTATAAGGGTTTACCCGACATCAAACTGAGGACATTTCCGTAATCAAAAATAGAAATTATTATAAGAAGCAAAAGTGATAATTAATATAAAAACATACTGGAAAACTTCCGTCATGTGTTGAGGGATGCGTCTTCATCACATTTGGGAATCAGTGTTCTTACAGGGCGAAGCTGAGTCTAACTTCTATTCCATCTCACAGGCAAAGGAAAAAAAAAAAACTCCATCCTTCCCAGTTTCTCTATTAATAAATAATCCATGCACAATCCCTTTGCCAGTAAACCCTTTTGTTATTCAATGTTTATAGTGCTACCAGTATGCAAACCCTGAATGTCCACATAGTAAATTATCAATGAAAAATATTCATATGTACAGTGTAGCTCAATAAAATGTCAGTTCTCTTTAAATTCGATTTGCATGCAGTCAACTGCATAATATACAGGCAATAAGTACGTTCAGTAGTTGTTTCTTTGGCAGGCCAGAATCCAGCTGGACATGCATAGAGAGGTATGTACAATCACAAAAACGGGATCCAGGTCACTGCGGAGTCACGACTCTCACATGACCCGGAGGTAAAAGTCAGTGTGCAAATGTTAAAGAAGCCAGTTTTGTTTTTTTAATCTCCCAGGATTAAGACCAGTGGCGTAACTGGTGCCCAAAAATCGAGCGTAACCTTGAACTGATAATCGTGATCGTAGTTGAACAATGTGCCATGTGATCACTGTGTGTTCCAGTACACTCCCTACACCACTGGTGAAGCTCTCTTCAGAGCCCGTCGTCCTTCTCTGAGTCTGGAGAAACAGGCCTAGAAACGGTGAAAATGTCCTGACGTTGGATTTTGGTTTTGGGTGTGGTGGAGGCGGACAGCGCCCCCGTGGACGGCCGCTTCTTGTCTGAGAGCAGTTTGATAATTTCAGCTACCTGACTCTCCAGGGCGCCCAGACGGCCTCCCAGAGTCTGTATGTCCTCCCGGAGCTCCAACCGGGTCTCGTGCAGCGCGGCCTGCAGGGCCTGCTCGGGGATGGGGCAGAAAGGGTGAGGAGACCCCGCTCCTCCGGGGAGAGGGCTGTGGAGGAGGGGGGTGACAGCGGCGGGGGTTCGTGCCTCCCCCGCCCGGTCGATCCGCAGCTCACTCTTGGTGATGCCGCTGTCGCAGGAGTCTGTCTTGCGGAGGGGATTGTTGCTGGACACCCCGCCCTCCTCTGTATCCCCACCTCCTCCTGCTTCCTGACCTTTACCCTCCTGAGAGAGCATCTCCACAGAAACAGCCTTGACGTTGTTGTTCAGGCCCTCCTTCCTGGCCTCCACTGGAGCCATGTTGTTTTTCAGGCGCATCCAGCCGCTGGCCTTGACGGCCGGCTTGGCCAGCGCGGGGCTGGTGCTGATTTTAAGCCTGACAGTCTGCTCACCTCCACCTCCAGCACAACTGGGCTGCAGCTCCATGATATCACAGTTGTTCTGCTTGGCGGGAGGCTCGCCAGGATGGCTGTACGCCAGAGAACTCTGCATGGGCGTGACCTGAGACACGGTGAGCACGCTGCTGCTGGGCGGAGCCCCGTTCTGCATGGAGGAGGGGGGGCGCTGCAGGCTGAGCGGCAGGGAGTGCTGCAGGCTGGAGTGGCCCAGCTGCAGGCTGTGGGGGTGCAGGTGCTGGTGGTGGTGCTGCTCCACCTGCAGCTGGTTCTTCTCCACGTCAAGCTGCGAGGCGGCTGCGGCTCCCTGGTTGCGGAGCTCCTTCTGCTGCTTGAACTTCTGGAAAAGCTTCCGCACGGGATGGTCCTGCGGGATGGTGAGCTGCACCTCATTCTTCGCTCGCTGCCTCTCCTCTTCCTCCTTCTTCACCTCACTGATCTTGCGGAAAATTATCTGCAGGGGAAACACACGGAAAAGAACAACATGGCGCTTATCAGAACATTTATCATTTCATATGAATACTATGAATAATAATTCCCTCTGTGGCGTTCTCTGCTGAGCCTCGCACATTTATCATCGGAGATAAAGGCTCTTTCTACAAGAGCAAGAAAAAAAAAGGGAAATTTATTATTATGGAAATCTGTCAGTCTGTCTCAACTCTTTCCCTTGAGCACATTCACATGTCAGGAAATTCTCTGCAGTGCACTCAGGTACTGCAAAGTATAGCTGGCTCCTGGAGATCTGTGTTAAATTATCCATCAGTGCTCCTCCACCTCCCCCTGTATTATTCAGCCTAAGTCTGGCGCCACTCTCTCCTGGCTCCCCTTACACACTAATTACATTAGGAATGACAGAAATCCCTGCCAGGCAGGCAGCCAGCCATCCAACTGGCGATTTAAGTGTTATTCTTAGTTAAAATGATAATGCTCACAGTAGCTGGAGTTATAGATGGAAGAGAGGAGAGCCGCCCACCTTGCTGTCCATCCATAATCAACCCAACCGACCATTTTTACCTCCTAAACTCTCAGCTTTCATCCGCCTGCACTTCCTGTTCATCCAGCCTCTGCTGCCGAGAGCTTCCTGAGCCAAACTGACCAAGGTCTGCGCTCAGCGAGAAGAGTCTGTCATCTCAAATCTCCACGGCTGCCTGCAGCCATAACCTGGAAGATTAACACTTTTAATTAAATTAACTCTGACATGTAGAGTGTGCTTTGATTAAAAGTAATTGAAAAGTTAGCACCGGTGGGTTTTGTTTTTGTACTTGTCTCTTTCTGAGGAGAACAATGAGTTCACTGTCTGTGCGTATAAATCAAAACAAGAATCCATCACAAGTGAGTGTCACTATGCATTAACTTCAGCAACTGCCGTCCCTTCCTGTTGTCATGTAGAGAACCAAAACGCATCAGAAATGTCTCACAAAAGTGCAGCTGAACAGTGAGGTGAAGAGCACTTCAGCGTATAAATCTAAAAAAATACCTTTCAGTGTGTAGACGGAATGTTTTGGTATTTTTTCTATTTATTTTTCTATGGAAACACAAAACAATTATTAAATTTGTCAGTCACGTACTGTAGTGAATATTCTCTGAGAGCTGTCCACTAAACCCACTAAATACCCACAAAAGACTGATGCAAGTTATGGGAACAGTAACTTACGTAGACCTAGAGAGATCTGTCTCGCTTGTTCATGTTAAAAGTTTTTTTTTTGTAAACAATAAAGCAATTTTAAATCTAAATTTGAAAATGCTACATTTTCTGAAGTAAATGGAAGTGTGCAACTAAAAATGCAGCTGAAACAATGACACAGCAAACAACTTTGACTTCGTCAGGGTGAGTCAATTTTTTTCTGAGGTTTTTATTCCCAGTAGTGTTTGTTTTGTGTCCAGAACTTTAGATTATCAAAGTTATGTTTTAGCTTAAAATGCTATTTTCCCAAGCCCCTCGAAAAATGTTTTCCCATGTTCTGCGTGATGATGTTCATTCATTGATTTTCCGTAACCACTTGTCCTGGGTTGCATATGTTGCTGGAGCAGCAGTGCACCCTGGACAGGTCGCCAGACTATCACAGGGCTGACACACAGAAACAGACAACCATTCACACTCACATTCACACCTACGGACAATTCAGAGTCACCAATTAACTTGCATGTCTTTGGACTGTGGGAGGAAGCTGGAGCACCTGGGGGAAACCCACATTGACACGAGGAGAACATGCAAACTCCAAACAGAAGGGCCCTGGCTGGCTGGTGGATTCAAACCCAAAACCCTCTTGCGGTGAGGTGACAGTGCTAGCCACTGCAGTGAACCATTAATACATACATAATCAGGCTCCCAAGGTGCTCAGTGACCTTGTGGTTCCACTTAGAGCTTCTGGCATCAGTAACAACAGTTTTTTTCTGTCATGGAATTAACGTAGAATTCTTTACCTGGAGAACGCAAATTGGATCCTGATCCTTCTTGTTGCTGAGTCTTTTGTATCTTAAGGTCCAGCTAGGAAAGGGCAAATTAGCTTAGGCTATAAATGCTGTGGTGTGTGGCATTTATGTATGCTACATACTTATACATGCCTATACAAATAAACATTAAATAAAATAAATAAATACACAGCTATATATAAACCCTTCTAGCCCGCCTAATGTTCCTCTTTGTGACTGAGCCGAAGAATTTTGTGTTGGTGATCTTCCAAATCAGCTATATTCATTTAACCCCTTAAACAGCAGGGAAGCTAAGCAATGAACTGCTGTGGAGGTCACCTTAGTGCACATAAGATCTGAAAGTCACACCATAACAGAGACAAACGAACCAATGGAGGCAGTGGTTGATCCGCAACTCCTGTGTTCTGCAAGGTAAAATTAGAAAAGGAGTTTGGTGGCTTTGAAGAGAGCGAAATAATGGCTTCAGTTCCCTGCTGGAAAGAGCTGTCTCACAGCAAGGTAAAGCACTGAAAATATTTCACTGTCTATGGATAAGTGCCTCATACAACCGCACTTTGATGAAGCTGAAGCATCGAAAGGTACCGAAACACTGAAGAAAATTTAGGTACACGTTACACTGTAGGTGATAAAGTGTCAGCACTAAAAGGTTTTGATGCCACTTTAACTGCAGGTGCTGAAAGGAGGTGAAGTGTTAGTTGAAGTGAAAGTGTTTAACTAGAATTTAACAAGTTTTAACTAACATTAAAGTGCTGACAGGAGTTGAAGTGTCAGTTAAAGTAAACTACCTAAAAGGAGTCGAAGTGCTAGCTGAAGGGACGATATTGAAAGAAGTTACCAGAAAGTGTTAAAAGAAACTCAAGTGACAGTAAGTCAGTGTGTTGAAGGTACCCTAACTGTTGGCTGAAGTGAAAAGAGTTGACAACAGTGTCAGTTGAAGTGAAACTTTGGAAGTGAGATTGTCAGTTGAAATAAAAGTGCTGAAAAGAGTCTTACTTGAAGTAATGGAAGGAGTCGAAGTGTCGGATAAAGTAGATGGTTTCTTTCTCCAAAGCTCTTTGATACTTTGATACAAATTGAATGATGTGGAGCTTGGAAAGATGGCACACGTCATGCTTTCATTCTTGTTTTGGTGTTTAACATGTTTTTGGGTTAAATGTTTTTTTTGACACCTTTGTAAATACAAACATTTTACAGGTTTAATATATGTTGTTCTTGGCTCAGATGGCCCAAGAAACACAGTTTCTGTGTTTGAGTCCAGCCTGACAGGACTCCTTCCTACACCTGACTGGACAAGCACACTACATGGACTTTAGAATATCACCTTAGAAAACATGGTAGCTGTCCTGGAAATCATTTAAATGATCCACTACATTAACATAAATCAAAAAAGTGTGAATGAATGAAAGCAGGAAAAAGGTCATGACATTGCAGAATTAAACAGGTTTTATCTAAAGTGCTGGATTCAGAGGTGATGAATCATCATGTCAGATGTGTCCTGAGGTTGCTGATTGGTTCAGCTTCCTGCTGCTGGGCTCAGCAGAGTCTCACCCCATCTACACCTGCTATTAACATGTGATTTGTATCAGTAAAAACTCATTTACTGCAGGTGTAGGTGTATGCAGAATGCCATCAGATTGGCCAGACCTCATCTGGAGGTGGTCTGGATTGCACTGTTATCAGATGTCAATGATAACAAACACTAGGCGTTGCAAAGATACTATGGATGTGACAAACACAGACTGTAGGGAAGGTGAGGTAGGTCGGTTGTTGAGTTCACTGTTTCAAGACTGACAAGTTGACAAGTGATTGATAGACATGAATTCTGGTACGGACATTAATGGTCGTCAGACAATGTACCCTAATGACCTTTCCTCTGAAGGCACAGACACATCAAACTGACTTCAAAGATCTAGCAGAGACGAAAGCTGTGTGTCGGCCAAAAAGTTGCACATGAATACACTGCATAGACTACAGCCAACACCCAACCAGCACGTACATTCTTCCACCTGCATGATAGGCAAGAAGTCTCCACACCAGCAGATGGTGGTCGTCTATAATCATTCAAAATGGAAACCAGAGGCGTGTATGGAAGCTAGCTAGCACATTGACAATACAATCCAAAGTTGAAAGAATAGAGCATATTTACTGTGCGCCAGTGAATAATAACACAAACCATCTGGAAATGTTAATGCTAAAGAGCTCATTGGCTAAAACAAATAATCTTACCAAATGTAACAAGTCTGTTTTGGTATCATGCTGGTTTCACACTGGACGCTGGAAGCTGTTAATTGTCGCAAAGTCGCCTGTCAGCAGTCACCTGGCTGTTCACACCAGAAGCACATTTCTCTGCACTGATCAGCAAGCAACTATACTTCATTTAATTCACACGAAGAAATCTGCCTCTGTCTGCCTGTGTCTGATTGTCTGATTGTGTGTATAATTGCGTGTGTATGGCTCAGGGGCTCTGCTCGTCTCTTTGACTTGCTGTTTAGACACATCTGACAAATATGTGGAAGCATGGGATGCATATTCTATCATTTATTATACTCAGATCATTTATATCATATCACACTTTATTTTGTTTACATTTTCAGTGTGTTTTCTTGCCAGGTTTGGTCGTGGCTTGCAGAAAAGAATAAACCAGATGCTGAAACTATCATTGCAGATCATGAGACGGCCTGGGAGCTCAGCACTGTGCTGCGTCCACATGTAAACAGCCCAATCGGTTAACAGGGGCACCAAAAGCAAGTGGGCAGTGATCCGCGGAAAATTGGCACACGTCTAGACACTTCCACGTCCAGTGTGAACCCAGCGTCACTTTCTCTTGACTTTAGCTTTTTGTTTACTTGCCTCACTTCTGTTTCTCTTCTCATGCGCTGAACTGATCTGCTATTAAATGTGATTTCATTTACCAACAGGCTCCGCTATGCCAATGGCAATTCAACATGCTGAATCGGGGACACACCGCACTAACCAGGGTTGCAGATGAACTTTGACCGACAGCTGACCATCGGCTTGATG